CCATAGAAGAGTTATATGAACGAGAAGTTGACAAAAGCAAGAGTGCTATCATAACCTTGCAGTATTGACTGAAATGTTCTAATTAGGAATAAAGAGTGTTGTACTTGTTTATATAGTTACACTAAGTCTATTCATTTGATAAGTTGTCATGACACAGTTGATTATTCTTTGAAAGCATGCATAATACCTGGCCCAGCCATTTGCATCTCATTGAATAAGAATAGCAACTATTGTTATATACCTCGTTCTTCAAAGCAAACCGACACACGTAAATGGCTGGGCCAGGTATTCTGCACTCGTTATTCCTCAACATCACTTTATAAGAAAGGCCCTAGGTGATTCTTGATGAAGCTTCACTATTATTTATTTATTTATTTATTTATGTACCATGTAAGTCCAAATTCATTGCTGAATATATAGGACTGCGTTAGCTAATAAACTAATAGATCAAAATAAATCGTCATCATAGTCAAAGAATCCCATACAAATAGCAAAATAATGCAAGTCTACACGGTGAAAAAGAGTACAGACTTTGTCTCTAATCTGTAGTTTAATTTGTAGTGGTGTATGCGCTTTTATGTAATTCAAGATAATGCCAAAGCGATTTACAATACTGGGCCACTTATTTGCATATCCCTCAGTGCTTCTAAGAATGAAGGATATAGAAACAAAAGGAACCATTCAAATTCAGTGAGATGTAAAAGAGTGGCCTGGTATTCTACAGTCTAGCCAATGATGTAGATTATAATAACACTGTGGCTACATGGCCGGCAGTGGGACAGGTTGTTTTAGAATACTCCATGTCTGGCAGTTAGTCTTTTTAGCATTTTTTTATAAAGTAAAACACTGTAAAAAGAACTCTAGGACACGCGGCCCCAAGAGGAATCGAACCCAGGTTGCTGACATGGCAAGCGATACTCATGACCACTGCACCACGGCAACCGGCTGGCAAATTTCGGAATTTTTAATTATTTATAAGGTTACCCTTAGCATTATTGAAAGCTAACCATACACAGGCTAACTGGAGAGCTCTTAAGGCTAACTGGAGTGCTTTTTAGGCTAACCGCAGTGCTTTTTAGGCTAACTGGATATTTGCTATTCAAACGTTTTGACTGCCGGTCACTTTATAATAGTCTACATTATAAATCCTGATATACCGGGTGCCGGGCTCACCAAAATTAGTATTCAGCCATATAAACAAGGATTTGACATTGTTAACTGAAATTTAAAAAAAAATAATTTGACTGCTGGACACGGAGTATTTTGAAAAACCTGTCCGGCTGCCGGACATAGAAACACAGCGTTATTTTAATTTTAACATCAGGTCCCAGTTTCTTCAAGGGATGGATAACACTATTTCCCGAATAAATCGCTATCCAGAAAAAAAAAAGAAACCAGAATATAATATAATGCATATGAATAGTTTTTTAAACGGTGAATAGCGTTATCTATCTTTTGAACAACAGGGCCACCGGTCCACATACTCGATCGCATAGTACAAAAGCTAAAATTCTTACCACAAGCAAGAAGCTGTTTTAGTGTTTCCTCGTCACCTTCACGTGCAGCTAATCCAACATTTGAGACTGTCAAGTCATCAATCCTATTGAAAAACTGTAGTCCATTGCGAATATTAATGTTTACTAATTGACCAAGCGCTCTCTGTTCGTCGGCCATCTTGAAAACTGTGAGACGATGAAGAACTAACATAGAATTTGATTGGACGACGATCTGTTAACCAATCACAATGCGTTTTGTATTTCTCCCATAGTCCTCGACGAGCTCCTCGTGAAGCACATGAAACATTGCGGTGCGTTCTTCACGGCGGTTCGTTGAATTTCGGAACTGAATTTCTACTCGTTTTTGAATAGTAGTGGTTATAATTTACCGTGAGCACATAGGAAATTCGTTGGAAGGACAATGACGGCCTTTTTGCCGCCGAATTTGCTGGCATTATTCGCTCCGCGCGATCCGATTCCTTACCTAGCACCTTTGGATAAACCAGCTTGGTTGAAACGACCATGGCCTTACAGCGGCCTTGCAACGTATGTCAGAGAATTTGAGGTAAGGAGCTTGTTTGCAACTTGTTTTACCAACGGAAAATGTTCTCAATAGTGTGATCTTGAACTGATTAAGTAAAACTGGGTTGATTTCGTAGCCACAACCCATCGATGTGGTTTGTGGCGTAAATCAGATCCTGGTAAATCGATCAGACGATCTCTAAAGAAATAAGTTATATCAATTTTAGCTTGAGCTCAGAGTCAGTTAATTAGGGTCGATGTGAATATGGCAGGTGTTTATGAATTTTCAAACTTAAACAAAAACTACTCTTTACACATGGATCTTTATAAGAGATTTTATTATTACAACGTACAAAGATGAATAATTTCCTTATAGACCAAATAAAATCTCAAAATGTGGAATATCAAACTAGTTCGATTTGTGTAAGCTTGTGTCTTGTATATATCAAAGATCGTGTCAGTTGAAACCAAACGAAACAACTATGGTAAGTTAAAAATCTTGGAATGTTGTTTGTTGTCGTAGTATCACATCAACTACAAGCATATCGTGTTCAAAACCTTTCAATGTTTTAACACATATAGTAATCCAGTTAAATGTTACAGTTGAATCTGGCTATCTGATCTTGAACCTGCAAGTAAATTGAAACAAGTTCAAGATAATGGGAGTTCGAGGTAGCCAATACTGAAAAGTATATTCAAGGGAAAATAATTTGAGTTCCAGATAGCAGGAAGTTTAGGATAACCAAGCGTAAGGTAGCAAAGTTCTACTGTACATGATCACGTCTGTAGTTTCAGATGTAAGCAACTCTGATCTTCTTTGTTTTTAAAGGATCCTAACTTAACTCCACCGCCAACCCGAGGAGAAACAAGGGATGAAAAAACTGAACGAAAGGTAAGGTAGCTTTTATAAATAAATGTATACAGTGTGAAAGAGAGTGGGCTGTGTTTCTTCTCTTTTTGCTTGAAGTTCCAGTGAACGTATTTATGTTGGAGACAAGAAAGGAAGCCCATATGAACATTTTTTGTTATTTTCGCTTCCCAAGTTCACAGGTTCATGTAGTGACCTGTAAGTTATTACAGTGTCAATCAACAATAAATTTATGCCCTGAAAATATTAAAATAGTACAGTTCTTTTATAAATCCCTTGTAGATTACCCTAAAGCCTGCATTTCAAAATCAGCCTTAAACTGTGGCTTATTACCAGTACCAGTTTTGATCTCAATGGCATTTTCATTTCAGAGGAAGGAAAAAATTGAGCGCACAACAAAGTTTCAAGAAGACCAGATAGAACAATGTAAGTGTTGATATTTGCCTTTGCCAAGTTTCATCTACAGTCCTATAAAGATAGTGGAGGTGCGGCGGCCTCATGGTTAGTGTGCTCGCCTCTAGATCAAGTGGTCTGGGTTCAAACCCTGACCAGGAACAGTGTGTTGTGTTCTTGGGCAAGACACTTTACTCTCACAGTGCCTCTCTCCCCCAGGTACAGAAATGGGTACTGGGAAATTTAATGCTGGGGGTAACCCTGGGATGGGCTAGCATCCCATCCAGAATGGGAGGGGAGGGATAGAAATACTCTTAGTCATTTCATGCTATAGAAACTGGAGATAAGCACCAACCTGACTAGAGCCACTTGGCTTGTAAGCAGACGTTACCTATAAAGATACCACAAGGATCAAATGCTGCAAGCTCAGCTTTTTACCTCTTGTAATAAATTCTGGCCATACTAAATGTATTCATGTTGGACTCTTTTTGCAGGGGACCCTCATAATGATGCTAATGCAGTGGGAACTGATGCATTCAGGACACTTTTTGTGGGAAGAATTGTATGTAGACAATCTTTACTTCTTCACTGTATTATTGATCCTTCATATTCTTAAATCACACGATGAGCCCCACTAAATCACAAGATGAGCCCATTAATTTTTATGTTGTTCTTTTGGAGATGTAAAGTCATATCTACATGTATTTTTACTCATATTTGTTATAGAATTATGATACCTCTGAATCTAAACTCAGACGAGAGATGGAGCTCTACGGGCCAATCAAAAGAGTGAGTGATAATGTTCTACATTTTACATAATTTGAAAGTATTCTATCATAGTTTTGATAGTGCTTACAAATGTGTACATCTGCTAAGCCAATAAGAATGCGATTTTGTATAAATTTGTGTTTTGTGTTTTTTAATTTTTCCACTTGCAATTTGAAGACAGCAGTGTTAAAATAAAGTGCAGTGATAGGAAAGTGGAAAGGGCAAGATATAGTAAACTAATAATATGCCCTTTAATTAGATATTGTAAATTAATTTTGGGATAAAAAAAAACTAGTATAAGAGAGGTTAAATTCATCACCAATAGAGTAAATGTATACTTAGTTATATAACACATGAGAGTGTGATTTTGCCAATGGTTGGCCACTGGGTTGTGCTAAGTACGTATAGTTTACCGGTTTCTTTTTGCTGTTTTGTTTACAGATCCATATTGTCCATAATGTAAACAACACCAAACCCAGAGGTTATGCATTCATTGAATATGAACATGAGCGAGACATGCATGGTATGTATCCAAAGATATTCAAAGAGTATTAAACTTAAATGAAAGCTTAGACTTGAAAATAACCACTTGAAAGTTATCTTAGGAGAGCTTGAGAACTCAATTTGATAGTGGTTTTCAAAACTATGTGATCTCAGTTCAGTTCAAAAGACTGACTCTTGTGGCTTCCTTCAAGCAAAAAATCCCTTTTAGGATTGATCAGCCTGGAAAAAGTTCCCTATCCCAAGTTTAGCAGGAATTGTAAAGTTAATGTCTTTAAACTTCTTTGGCTACTAGAATAATTGTTGAATTTGGCCAAGCAGTGTCCTGTTAGAAAATGAATCTGTGTTATGATTGTGTGCAGATGTGCCAAATAGTCTACAGACAGGAAAATTGCCCAAAATAAAAAGAATTTTAAAGAAGAAATTTTCAAAAAAGATTGCCCAAAATAAGACTTTGTTTGTCACTGAAAGTATGATTGAACTCCTGATCTCACATAACTTTGAAAACCAATACAATACTTGTTATTTTTGATTAAATATACTTGTTCATATCTGAGTATTTGGGATAAAAACAAAAGTGATGTCTTTTTGGTGAGGATACATTTCTAAGTGAAGACTGCTCTGTTGTACCAGGTACAAAATGGCCATAAGAAGGTCTGACTCAAGGTACAATGGTAATGGTTGCAATAGTAGTCTTGCTTTGTTCTCTAAGTACATGTAAATTATATTATACAAGTACATCGGTGTGATTCTTTGTCTTTGACACATTATTACACCAGACCACCCACTCTAAAAGTTGGGCTTTCAGTTTAAGGTCGTTGCAGTTTTAGTTTAGCCTTTGTGAAGAAGATTTCATTTTGTTTGGCTCACTTTTTGAAATAACACTGAAAAATGTTCAATAAAAACAGTAGTAGTCCTGTAAAATACATTTATTGTCTGAACAGTGGCACACAATTTTTGCTAATGAGAATAAATTTAGAGTTATCAAATTGGCTGGGCTGGTTTAAGTTTGTGTAAAAGATAATGGATTGATTTTTTTGTTCAGAGAGTTATCTGAATTTACAATGCTATAATGTCATATTTTATTCATCAAATAAAACTGTGGGAGCATAAAGTACTCCTAGGAAATTAAAAACATGAAGTCTTTTTTTTTTCTAAGAAAAGGGCCAGTAAACCTAAAAATTCTCTATAAAGTTTGAATCACATCCAGCTTCAAGGAAAGCTGTTTTTGTTCTATTTCCCTTAATAATGCCATCTACTTGTGGTCCGGTGGATTTAAACCTTTGCTATTTCTTGCATTGGACAATCAATCACCTTGCTTGTTTTAAGCTTTCTACCTGTTGTGGGCATTTTGTGCACCCCAGAACCTGGTTAAGTTATGATCTAGGTGTAAAGTTCTGGAAAGTCCTGGTAAGCAGAGGTTTGTCTGACGTCTTTACTAAGTTTGGCTCTTTTGATCGAATCTTGCAGTGAATACTTTATCACTCACCATCACATGAAAGTGAGAGTAGTCTTTGATGAGCCAGTACTTGGTTAACTTTTCCCAATACTCTTGAATTGTCCTGAAAGATAATCAGGTAAAATGGTGGGTATAGGTGTCGAACAGGTAAAACTTCACTTTTTCAACTCAAAATACTTGAGTTCAAATTGATCTTTGGGCAATTTAGTTCATTTGGATGTCAATTAAAAGAAACATTTAACCCTATTCCTATTAAACAATTGCACTGGAATGTAGAAGAGTGAAAGAAAGGCTTACATAATGATTGGAAATTAATTTTCTTTCAACATGTGGCAAGTTTTGGTGAGCTGAAGAGGTACTGTAGAACGTAAAAGCCTTGAAAGCAAAATAAATTTTAAACAGTAAATCATCCAAGCAACACTTCTACAAAAGCAACACAAATATTCTTTTTAGTGGAATTTTCTTGTAAAGGATCAAGCTTGGATACTTTTCGTTAAAGAGGGGATTTCTGGTGACTATAAGTCATATAGGAGTGTTCTGATAACAACATTGGCCAACAAACTAGTATTTGGTTCCAAAAATGATACCAAGAGGGTTGTTTGTATTTCACTGAGACAAGAACATAAAAGAGTTGGTTTTCTAAGTGTTAAGACCATATGGTGGGTTATTGGGGAAGTAAAATAAAGGGGAAACAGGTGTGAAACCTGCCATGCAGGCTACAACGTGCGAAGGACATGATTATGTTTTTTAAAACAAATAAATTGGACTGTTAAGCTGCACTGGAAACTGGAAGATGCAAGGTTAAAGTGTTAACTTTGACAATATAGGCAGGTGCAGCATAACTGTATTTCGGAAAGGAGCTTTCAGTTTCTCTTGCGATAAGCTGCAATGCAACATCATGCTTGGCTTTTGAAACTGCGCTTAAACCAACATTGAATCCAATTGCAGCACAGTATCATTGGCTAATATTGATTTTTTAAATAACTATTAATTAAATATTCTCTCGGGTGAGTATTACCAAGGGAAGCCAATTAGCAATTTGCTTCCAAGTACCTTACATGTATAATTTTTTGGCTCTGTGTTAAGGTACTTTTCTGGGAAAAATTGCATTCATAGTTTCCATAGTTGAGTTATCTTGTGTTGACATAACTCTATGGATACATTAACAAATTGTTTTTACTCTTTGCTAATAACATGACTGAAATTTCTTTGTTAAATGGTTGTCAACTTTTCACACTACCGTTGATTTCTTGTTTATTTCCAAAAAAAGTTAATTTCAAACTCTCATTGCCTGTTATCACTAGCATGCCCTGTATTCAATTGACCCAAAGAAAGATTTTTTAGAGGGCAGGGGTAGGCCCTTTGATTGGCTTCCCTTGGTGAGGTCACTGGCTGTGCTGGTAAGGAACTCCAGTGACACACGCACACTACTGGAGAGCAATGAATGTCACCACTCTTTGCCGAGTAATGTTGGTTCAGTTAGGACCTGGCAAGAGTGTGAGTATTCTTACACTTCATATTTTTTCATCGCCTTGAATTCCTTGCAGTTGTCTGACAATAAGTTAACACATTTTGTCAGCTAGGAGATTTTGTTTTGATGTATGTAGACTACAAGTAATCCCTCGTTCACTTAGCGTGTGGTGTATGATGCAAAAGAAAACTGCAAGAGAAAAATCGCCACCCAAAATCCTGAAGGCGTGAAAAGCGCAATCTTGCACTTGATCTCATATTTTTTTACTCACAATTTTCTTTCATGTTACACATGACAAACTAAGCGAGAGAGGGACTGCTCATAGTCTATGATTTATCACCAAATTCTCTGAACTGACAGAAATGTTTGGTAATCAGATTTTTAACTTGGGATGGAAAGTAAACAAATCCAGAGAAATTAATAATGAATGAAAACCAGGGTTCTTTGGCAGTGTATGTTGGTGTAAAATGTTCTTGTGGGCTTTGTACAACTTCTTGCTCCTGGCGTCTTTTTGCAGGAAATTGAAAACAATTTTTCCCCTTGTTGTCACTTGAAAATCTTAAAATTATTGTATAAATCACCCTTTACAAATGAGGAGAGAAAGTCTGCATTAGTACAGCTGCAACGTGTCAGTACACTAGGTATATTATATTACAGAGGAAAGGTATTTTCAAATACCTGTACCCATTTATATGACTGTATCTTTCTTGTAGTCATCATCAAGTTTCTTAGATGTAATGAGTTCTAGAGCTTGACAATTCTGTCAGTATTCAACCTTGACTTAATTCCGTTTCCTGCAGTGGGAAGTGCTGCCAGGAAATTTCAACCTAATGTACCTAAATGTTGCAGTTGAACTGATGTTGACCCACTTTGTTCATTTTTTGGGAAGCAGCATGTCCTTTAGGTGATAAACCCTTGAAATTATTTTGAGGTAAAGCAGCTTATCCACGCTATCATGCAGTCAACCTTCAGTTATACAGAATTTTTTTGTTTTTCTGAATTTAATTCAGTAGTGGCTTATAGAAAAGTGAACGTAGTGTAATGATAATTCCACAAAGTGATGCAATAAATTTTGGATTCAATAAATTATGCAACTTCTGGCCATACTTGCCCTCAAGTTCAAGGCTCTTTATGTGAGCTTCTCATAATCTGAATGACTTGAGGTGTGACTGCACTTAAGAGACAACGCAAATTGTATAAAGAAGGGAACAACCCAGGCCCATAAAAAAATGGTGACATGGGTGCACTTGGTTGGTAAGTTAATTGGCAGTGATAAATGTGACATCAATGGCAAAGACTATATTGACTCATTTTGAAGAAAAAAATAAAAACAATACAGTTCTGGTGAAAAAAAGTTCTTTCTTCTACTGAAATAAAAGCTGCCAGCTTGCAAAATGCAGGCAAAAATGGTCTGATTTTTTAAAGAAAAATATTTGTTGCACATTGTTGTATGCAAGACTTGTAAGTCTGCAAGGTCAATATTGTCTCTGCCAGTGATGTATTCAGGTAAGTGTCATGCATCCCTTGAAACTGCTATACACATTATTCCACTAATAATCTGACATTGTTAACATTTGCACTTGTTTTGTGTTTGTGTTGCAGCTGCTTACAAGCATGCTGATGGAAAGAAGATCGACGGCAGGAGGATTGTTGTGGACGTGGAGAGAGGTCGCACAGTCAAGACATGGAAACCAAGACGACTTGGTGAGTTTACTGTGAAGTAAATGTACACTGTAAAGTTACCACTCTCACACAGTTCTGACATTGTTTTGAAGTGGTGACAGTGTAACATGTAAAAAAAATAAAATAAAATAAGTGACCTATATTTACCCTTGGCAGTGTTTATAACCCAAATGCTAATGGGACCAAGCAAACAACTGAAACAAATAAGTCAATTTGAACAGAAAAGTGTTAAGAATCCCAACTGGCCGGAGGCAAACCAGTTGTATTTACAAGCGTGGCTGAGGTTTTGAACTTGGGGCCACCATAAAACAAATTCCAGGGTGTCGTCAGAACAGGACTTGAACCCTGGGCTACTGGATTGTGAGTCAGACATGCTGACCTTTGGGCCATGCTGTTGTTTTGTGGGAATTTCACTCCCTTATCAAAAGTGATATCAAGAATGAAAGATCTAAACTTAGTCGAAGACTTAATCAAATGCTTGTGGTAATCTGCCCTTGGGGGTTGGTAAGACTAAGGTGAATGGCCAAACAAACAGCATCACGTTTCTTATCGTCACTGACTGGCGAGTTCTGTGAGCCAAATTTCTCTATGCTTAATTATGGCCCAGCTCTTGATAAACCGTTGCTTGTAAATATTGCTGGGACAAGTACCTTAAATTCTAAAAAAATATTGAGAGCAAGGAGCAAAATAATACTGTCAGTTGCCAGCTAGTCTAATTTCTGGACGCACAATTTTTAGCCAAACC